AGATTTAATTCCATCCAATGTTTAATATTTGAAAATGTCAACCAAGTCCCATTTTTGTCTATCTATGAATATTATTTGTTTTCGATTGATATATGTTTGCTTTAAGCCTTGCTACCTAAACAATCTAAAATATAAGATGTTATCTAATAATATTGTTTTATTTGCCTTATCGGCTCCTTTCTGTGAAAGCACGTACCTAAACTAATGTACTCGCAATTATTTTTATTATTATACGAGGGTCAAACTGAAAGTTCTTAGAAAATCAAAAACTGATTACATTAGCTAGTTATTAGTTTTATTATATCTTTTCAAAATATTGTCCATTCACGTCAATACACCGCTGCATGCGATGGAACCACTGGGAAAAGCACTTTGCCCACTCGTCCTTAGGGGTCTCTTCAATGGCATCGCGATACGCAGCCACCGCTTCTTCAGCATTCATAAACCGCTTTCCTTTAAGTTTTTCTTTAATTTTTGGAAATAAATAAAAATCACAAGGCGCGAGGTCGGGGCTATACGGCGGGTGACCCAGTAATTCAACGTTTGATGTCGCCAAATAGTCGATCGTTCGCTTGGCGGTGTGCGACGAGGCGTTGGCGTGGTGAAGGAGGATCCTACTGCGAGGTCGTTTCTCTCGAACTTTTTCCAAGACAAGTGGCAAACAATTGGTAGTGTACCATTCTGCAGAAACTGTTTTTTGATCCTCTAACACAATTGTTGCAAAATGACCTATCCTTCCAAAGAACGAGGCCACCATTTTTTTTCCCGCACTTCGATCTCTCTTCACTTTAGTTGGCAACTCCTCGAAAGGAAACACCCACTGAGCAGATTGTCTTTTGGTTTTAGGATCATAACAGTAAATCCAGCTTTCGTCACCTGTTAGTATGTCGAACACAGCATTTGAGTCACCTCCGTTAAATCTTTCAATCATTTTACGACACCAATCCACACGATGGAGTTTTTGAGCCTCAGTCAAATTATGAGGTATCCACCGGGCGCAAAGCTTCCTGACCGCTAAATGTTCGTGGAGGATTTTGTGCACTTGACTCATACCGATGCCTAAGCTTGTCCGAATCTGTTGATAGGTCACTCTTTTGTCAGTCTCTATCATACGCCGCACAACACAGATGTTATCTTCAGTCGTCGCCGTAGAAGGCCGTCCCTCACGTAAATCATCAGTGAGATTAGTGCGACCACGTTTAAACTCATTAAACCAGTTGTAAACAGTCGCACGAGATGGGGCTTCATCGTGAAAGGCCAATCGTAGTCTATCATAACTTTCTTGTTGACTTAAATCACATCGAAAGTCATAAAAAATCATTGCACGAAAATTTTCTCGTGTTAAATTCATGATGACGTAACACAGACAATTTTCAATTTGCCGCCAAATCGTAAAACAAATGACAAATGAATGAAATATATACTCAGTAATATTGGCAAAGAGTTATATTTTCAAATTTTAGAATTATTTTTTTATTATATTGTTTATAAGTGGCCAGTTCTAAGAACTTTCAGTTTGACCCTCGTATATTAAAAGTTTTTCTGAAAATTGACGAAAAATTCTCTTTTAAGACGAGACAAAATAAGCATTACTTAAGTCTTTAATATAATATCCTGGGATGATTACCTTGACTGTAATACCTATATTGTTACATTCCTCTTATAGCGATGCTTCTTTTTGAATTGATGAGCTATGATTATTCTAGAGCCATGGAACAATCAGGATGCGCTTGCGTGATTACCTTTGGCGACTATCTAGCCAAAATTAGATACCAGCTTTGCTATTCTATTATAAAATTAATCTCAAATCCGAAGTCAAGCGATGAAATAAAACATCGATTGAAGGCATAAGTCTTTTAAGTACATGAACATAATTTAGGGGTGAATTCGAACCAGCAGTTTTTTAAACATTACTATTATGATTTTTGATAAAAAATAATTTTAATCAACACATTTTTACACTAAATCAAAATTTTTAATGTTTTTGTAAAATGTTTCTGCTGTTACGATTGAGCCTACGAACTATTGAACTTGTGTATCCGTATATAAGTATTTTTTAGTCAGATAATAAATAAAATAATTGAGTTATTTTCGATAAACAAGGAATGAATATACATTTAACTGTAAATTAAATGAAACTTCGCTTTTAAAATATTAAAGATTTATAGCTCCTACTGGGTAATCGGCACCGATCATAGGATTTATGAAGGCCTTGTACTTGATCGCCAGACAATGAAAGTAAGAGATTATCTTGTTGCGGTAAACATCCTATTGGCGACGTTCATAATATTTTGTTTGATGTTAAAAGCCTGTTTCGTTGAAAGATATTGCTTTTACAGCTTTTCAATTATCTCCCGCGTCTCCTGCTTACCTGGTAGGTAAAGGAAAAGTATAGTTATTTGCATAATGTAAATATAATTTTACTAAGGAAATGCCTTTTATTTTTTATTAAGGCACATTTTAGTTAATCACGGAAACTAAAAAAAAAAAATACTAAATTTATATTTTAAACACTCACTCGCAAATATAAAGCTAAATTATTAGTATGTAACATATTTATTATTATTAGTAAAAAAATAAATTGTAGGGACCAGGGGAAGTAAGCAACTACGCCGATCTTTGATCGGTGAGTGCTAATAACTCAATTAGGTATATTCTGATAGAACTGCTCGAAATAATCACATTTCTGGTCACTCATCCGTAAGACATTGAGAGAGTGACTTAACTTTAGTAATTGCATATGCGATAATCACTGTACCAAATAAGGTTCATTACCAGAACACAATCAGAAATATTTATGTTCGATTTAATGATTTTTTTTACGTTAAAATAATATTTTCCAATTTATGCAAATGTTATTACCCAAAGATAAAATAATGTATTTATAACAAATTTGACATGTAGTGCCGTTTTTAATTCATTATGACTTCCGCTAGAGGCGCTACTGTGAAATGTATGGAAACAAAACGTAACGGTTACAGTTTTTTGAAAACTATCGAAATTCGTACTAAGGGACAGAGGTTATCCAAATTTGTCAATTTATTTGACAAAAAAAACCGATTTCAAAAAAGATAAGCTAACAATTCGAGGTGTCTGTATGTAATTTCGTTGGAAAGGTGCATGTACGTTGGTCTGTATAGGCTTCTAAACACGTGTGCTAAATTTTATAGACGTATGTATGTTTCACGGATATCCATATGTTAGTCCACGGATATCTCGCAAACGAGACGACGGATTGCAATGTTTTCTTTTTAATTGCTTATCTGTCAATTTAGGTGACATACAAGTTTCATCAAAAAAGGGAACATATAAGGTTCAGTAGTTTTTAAACTATTAAAGTTTAACCGACTTCAAAAATGATGTTGTCAATTTGTCCTGTATGTTATAATTGTGTTCGAATATAGCTCCATATTCATCGTGAATTGAATATCGGCTGGTGGCGTAGAGGATAAGCGCCACGGCCCGCAATCGTTGTTGTTAAACAACTTTCGCAAGGGTCGGTCACAGGATGGGTGAACAAAAAATTATTATCTCGAGCCTTAATTCTAGTCCTAATTGTCCGCTACAATTAAGAAATTTTCTGTAAACTTTTCATTTGTGTGTGAGCAATAAAGAGTTCATCTATCTATCTACTTCGTGCTTCGAAAGGCACGTTAAGCCGTAGGTCTCGGCTGCATTTGCAGTCGTTAATACCCTCCAATCCGCATTGGGCCAGCGTGGAAGGACATGGCCCATCCTCCCTAACCTTCCATAAGGAAGGCCTGACCCCTGCAGTGGGGACGCAAAAGGTCTGATGAATATCAGATTAAAATGATTCTCTTTTTGCATGATTAATTATCCAGTAAATATAAGTATGTTTAAATCCAAACGGTTAGAAGTAATAACGATACATCGATCGTTATTTCTTCTTCTATTATTAAAAAAAATAAAATATATTTAAAATATAAATAAACCGACTTTACAATATCACAAAAATATTGTCATAAAGAGACACAACTCAAAAGAGAAAAATAAAACCACAAACAAAAAAATATCCTTAATGAAATCACAACAAAGAAAGAGGATACATAAACATTTTTTTTGTGAGATCGGTGCCATATATTTAGAAAAAAAACATGAGATTCTTCTGATAGTGTTTTACTTCATACTTATGATACGATCACCAAAAGACATGTTAAATTAGTAAAATGAAAGGAAAAATTGCAGAAATATGCTAAGATGTCGTATCCTATGGCTAATGTCATATATCATGGGTAAAAAGTTAAGCTGTCGTAATCATGTTGATGTCTTAAAGCAGGCTTTCCCAACCTTTCGATTCGGTCTAACAAATAAATATTTTAATGCCTGCCCGCTTTTTCTTTTTAATAAATTTATAAATAATAAAAATTTACACTTGCATATACTATGATAGATGTTGTTGGATTTGGAAACACTATCCGACAGAATAAGTGAAATGTGATGTCGTAATAATTAATTTTGCATAATTTTTTTGTTGCTAAAATGCAAAAGCTTTTCGTCAACCTTGACATCTCTCTATGCTCCCCTAGGAACGCTCCCACCCCTGTTGCGAACGCTACCTAATTACCTGCCGTTGTCGCTGCACGCTCTGGTGCCACCTAGCGGTATCTTTATTCTATCGATAAATAGTCTGTGGTAAATTCATGTTTATGTGGTCTGTGGAAATGGAAAAAAAGGATGCGCTTTGTTGAGAGCGCACGTTTTGTTCGTACCAAAGATTACAATATTATACTGGTTCGGACGAACTAGCGGTAAGATCTCTTCTGGTATTGCTGCCATAGTTGATATTAAATAGATTCTAGTGATTTATTATATAAAAACTAGAATAAGCATTAGTGGTTTAGTAATATGAAATAAATACGTAACCATATGATTGTGATTTATCGGGAAATAGTGTGTTCTTAATTGATATATTAGTGTTAATATCTGTCTCCTATTACTGCCAAATACAAATTAATAATTAAACTCTGGTAATTACTCACTCCTATATGTTGACCATCAATAAACAGTTGAGGCACCAAAATCTGATCACTCCTCATTCTATCCCTGATCTCGTCTTGATACTCCATGCTCATGAACACGTCCCTTTCTTCGTACTTCACCAGGAGGTTCCGGAGGATCTTCTTTACTAGAACGCATCGTTGGTACGTGCTCCTCACAATGCCCATGGTCGTGGTATATACTACCACTTTGCCAGCATCTTTTTCCTTGTAGCTCTGAAAAAATAAAAATATAAAAATTATGTATTGCTTTAATTAAATATTTTGGTTAGTACGGAATTGATTTTAATACCGTTTTTATCAATATATAGTGCTTCTAGACGAAGTACATATAGTACCACGTGAGCGAAGCCGCTTGCGTGGAGCTAGTTAAATAATGTTTATTAATAGTTAAACATTAATAAAAAGACAATGAGCGCCATCTATTAACTATTTGTGATACTGTTAAGAATATCACGGCAAATAAACAGCAAGCGTTCCGTTGTTGTGTTTTGTCTTATAGTTGAGCATGTTCAGATAGATGTCGCTATATGGTCATTAATGTACTGTACTAATTGAAACTAATCGTTGTTTAAGCTCGTAACAGACGGTGGAGATTTTAACTATATTATGATATCTTAAGATAAAATATCGCTCACAAATATAATCTAATGGTCAATCTAATGGTCTAACACACACGGCTAAGAAAACATGATATTTTCTTATAAAGTGTATTAAGATCCTAATAGATGCAAAATTTAGGTATACGTATTTATAATGAGTCTCTAATTATTATAGATATGCTAATAGGCTTTAGTTTTTATTTTTAACACAGTAACTATAATTTAAAAAATGTAAAATAATTTAATAAGATTCCTAGATAAGTTGTATTATATTTTTTAGGTTATGTTTTACTACCAAGAAAAATAAACTCAATAGGCAAGAGTCGAATTATGAAAAAGTTTTTAAGGTATTTTTTACAAATACAAGCTTCAGTTAATTGGAATACAAAGTTCTAGAGAAAACAAGGTTGTCGGTATCAAATAATCCTAATCGTTTACATTTTTAATATGCAAACGGCAAAATATTACAAAACGCATGGAGATTTTCACACTTGACAATTTATATTAACGTACACACGTCAGTGGGTTAAGCAATGTGGGTCAGTGAAGGCTGTCATGTCAAAGTAATTTTGCTACTACTTGGACAGCAGACCGCAAATTCACATGTTTTAGTAGGTACTTAAATACGTTGCACATTTTATATAATTTCCTATGGACTAATCTGTACCATCAACAAAAAAAAATTTCATAAAATTATTGTTATTAAATAATCACATTCTGATATTGAAAAAAATTAAAAGTGTGTGATTATCAAAAATTAGTAAGCTATAAATAATGGATTGTTTTGAATTGAAATGTTTTATATATGTTATGGGTATAGTTACTTTCGGACATAAATACTCAATTTTAATCGTCCTCCCTCCATCGTTGTTATAACAAAAACTTATACTAAGAAACACACTTTCGTACCGTTAGTGTCTTATTACACTAATGGTACGAAAGTGTGTTTCTTGTTGTTCTTATTATTAATGTTTTTGTGCTTACTTCCCTTAGTTTTGTTTCAAAGATAAGATTATGTATACTTTTCAATAAAAAAGTTTATTTGAAAGATTTTATATTATCGCTTGTGAAAGGACATGTCGGTTCTAAGAATAGTTTTCAAAACTTCTAAGTTCAAAACTGAAAGGTGCGTTCGACAATGATTTGTTTGTTATCATATCTTCATGTCTGAATTCTATGTCCATTAAAATACTCGTATCTAATAGAATATATATAAACGAAAAAAAAATCTTTAATCAAATAGCATCTTTGATTCTTGCTAACCCTACCTGCTATTAGTCGAGTTAGAAACATCTTCATATTGCGTAACTGCAGCCTAAGTCTTATGTAATAAAAGCTCGAATTGATTACACGAAGAAGTTATCGATTGTCTTTCTGATTGATCGGTTTGTGTATTTTACGATTCACAAGAATAAGTAGTAATAAGTAATTGGGAGTTAAAACGCTTCTTTTATTGTATTGTATCATATTTGGTTGAGTACAAAAGCAACCAAATTTGATACAAAACTAAATTATTGCACTGAGAACACTTGATTAAATAAGCAAATAAATATCCACTCAAAACATTATGGTCGCATGGGAGCGTAAAGGATAAAAAGCATATCCACTCCTTTTACAATTTATTGTAACTTTGATTATGTGAGAGAAATTCGATAGTGATTTCTTAATGGGCTTAATGAATTTTCTTCATAAAAACCAATTCAAAATAACGTATGATAAAAACTGAAAAACTATAAGATTATTTATGTCAGGCGCTTCAACACAAGTTTTAATGTAAACAATATGTCAAAGGGAATATGAAATTTTATTCAAATAATAAATATATAATGATACTAAAATTTTGTAAACCTTTTCTATTTATAATCGTAGTTCGCACCGTCAAGTTTACCTATTACGTAATAAAATTCACGAGCAGACCGCCTTAATAAACTCGAGAGACTCGATAAATGGATCGAGAGTGAACTCTCATGGGTTCACTCAACAAGTGATAAAACAATGTTACACGGACTGGAGGCATGGTGTTACGTCATATGGTTGCAGATGCATTTCTGGTCTCCCTAATTACGGTGTCATAAGATCAATTGTAGGTACATTAAAGATAGGGAATATCTAAGAAGCGACATTAGATATAAAACCTTTTTATATCGGAGAAAATGTAGTTAGACTCGAAATAAAATTTTGTATTAGTTTGGGTGAATATTATTCATGCCTTTTTTTCTCTTTTTTTAACCTCCTTAGATCGAAGATAAAAAAAAATCCATAAACACGCTGCTACTTATGATATACTCACTTTACATGGAAGTTGATGATAACTTTTCGTCAATATACCTTCAGTTTGTTTAGAACGATTGAAATGATCATGAAATTTCAATGTTTTACAATAAAATTTTCTTCCTAAATATGATTTTCCAGACATTTTTTTTTTGAAGATCGATCTTTTTTGGCACCCCCTTAACACTGGCGCCCGAGGCAAGTATCATTCGCTTGCTTCCTCTACTTACCTCCCTAGAATCGACCCAGACAAGGCATGAGAAACAATTTGTACACTGGGAACATTTTTTTTTAGTATGGTTAAACACTGGAAAATTTTTTCTTATGATTTTAAATTGTTTATAAAACAAATTAAAATGTAACTCGCACACTGGTGTTCAATTCTCGGCCCAGAATTCAATTCTCGGTCAGGTCAACGCGAAAAATGAAATTTTATTAATAGATTTGTTATTTCTCATTTCCATGATGCAGGTATATAAAACTTTTGAATTGGTATTAAAACCATGTATGATTATTTATTTAATAATAATTAAAGGTAAATAGAAAAATCCCCGCAACAATAGAATCATAAAACTTTTTACTGTTTATTTCAGAAACGTTTCCTATTTTGTTATTTACTGAAGATTTTTTTGTATTATGATTGTGTCCAAAAGTATTGTTTTGAAGGTAGCTACACTATTATTTAAAAGGACAATCAACACCTTAATCTTATATGAACACGGGACCTGTAAAGGGTCCGAAATGTGAATAAAACTAAATACAAACGTGATGAAACCGTCTAAAAGTTGTTTTTTTAAGGATAGTGCGCGTGTTACGATATAATATATCAATAATGAGGATATTTCATCAAACGTGACTTTAAAGGATCCGCGATCACAACAGACTATACATAAATATTTTTAAATATTACGTGGGAACATGTTTACGTTATATTGACAAGAATTGCCACATAAATTTTGTTCTCAACAAATATTTACTCATCTGTTGCAGAATCCAGATAACAATTTCGTGGCAATACCGAACGATCGGTTACAGTATTTATGTAACTACGGTCATTGCGTAGACGCAACCCTATTGAGAGGTCGAAGGTTTCGTCACGTAATCGCTTCTTGATGCCTTTAATGGTAGGAATATACTATTATAGTATTTTCGCATAAGGTAGTGGCGCCTAAGAGACCACACTTTTTGATTTAACGTAAAGACTAAATACGTTCAAATGACCTGCATTCCTATTGGCCAGTTGATAGCAGTACTATCATAGAGTATTAGCTATAATGTTTTTTTTAGCCTACGAGCTGGTTAAAGACAGTGTGCTATCTTGAGCGCCACCATCACAGGGGCTTTAGTTGCACAACGCATGCATATGTGATATGAACATAATAATATTTAAGTCATATCATATATCAATCACATTGATAACATATTGGTGTTTCCTCATTGGTAAAGCCAGAAGAAGACGTAGTAAAACTACTGATTCAAACATCTATTAAGTTGATAGTACTCGAATAATTATTCGATTCTATCTACCATTATAAAGTAAAAAGGTGCATTTACAGTCAACGTGATAACTACTTTTTGTTAACTCGATAAATTGATTTCTGTTGAACCGGTTGATTATAATTTTAAAACTTATTCACTTTATGTGAAGTTTAAAGACAAATAAAAAAGTCGGAGGTTTTTAATGAACTTGAATAATGGGACATTAATCTTGATCGACTTTTTGTATTTTCTGAATTTTATTAATCTAAATTGGCATATCCCCTATATTGGCATAATGGCATTCATAAAAATTCACAGTCAGTAATTTTTGTAGAGTATATAGATTGTCACTAAAATGCATTTTTAACATAACAGTCTTCAATAAATTGATAAATATGTAATAAACTGAGAAGGTGGCAACTAAGTTTAAAAAAAAGCCATATTTATCGGTCCGTGTAAACGCCATTTTGTAATAGTTCGATACAGTTAGTCGAATGGAAACGCATCATGTCATATGTACTGTGTGTCATTAGATATCCATTTGCACTTAACTATTTGCGGTCGACGCCATCAACGACTGCAGATGTTAGGTACTTGATTTTATTGCTAGAAACACCTTGACCTACATGAATTGAATTAATTTTAATTTTGAGAGCGATTTACGTCGAATTGTGTAATGCTTTTATAAGGATTATCTTAATCACTCAAAAAAAGGTCGCTTTTTATCACTTTTTTTTATTAAAATACGACGTCATTAGAATTAAGACGTTACTTTTATTATATTATATATATGACACATTTCAACATCAAATCGATCGCATTCTGTAAGAAAATGATGTCAGAAACAATAAAAACTGGCGAGCA